TATTCTAGTGTGGACTTGAGACACCAGCCCCCAGCCCTGCCCACACCAGGAGGCTTGATCTCCAGTATTAAATCAACATAACTGCTCCAGTAGATGGGATCAGGTACTGCCCAGCATCTGGCATTGGTATTGGGACACTGGCAGAGGGGCAGAAGCTTTGTCTGCCTGCCGTGGTCACATCCACAGGCACCTGCTCTTATTTAGCATTGGACTCAGGGTTAGAAGGCCAGATCCTCCCTCTTGTGGGAAGCCCTGTCTGGGCTTCACAAGGAGAGGCATGGGGAGCCCAGGACACGTGGCTGCTTGCTCACTGGTACACTTGACATGGCCAGCTGGGCAGGGGCTGTGCCAGCCCTCGGTGCAGGTGGAGGAGGAGGCCTTGCAGCATCTCCAGACAGACAGACATGGCCTTCGCCTGGCCACAGAAAACATCACCTTGCCAGCCAAAGTGTTCATCTGCATGATGCCTCTTTTGGCTCTCTCTCTCTCTCTCTCTCTCTCTTTTTTGAGACAGGGTCTCCCTGTGTAGTTGAAACTGACCTGGAGCTCACTATGTAGCTCAGGGTGGTCTCGAACTCACAGTGATCCTCCTGCCTCAGTCTTCCGCGTGCTGGGATTACAAGCGTGAGGCACCACGCCCGGCGGAAGTGGGTTTTCATAGGCTCATAGACTAATCACTAAATGACCTTTTCCCTGAAGCACCTGGCCCAGTGCGTGCGTGTTACACAGTGCTCACTGTGCATGGCTATGATTATTGGTCATTTTGTCAGTGCTTCCTGGTCTCTGTGGCACTCACCTCTGTTATTTCATCTGGTCTCCACATCCCGTAGGAGGGTGGCAGGGGGACAGCAACCCCACTTTGCAGATTCCCAGTCACAGTGTGCAGAGCAGAGCTCACCTGGCCTCTCCCTCTTGTTCCTACACCACGACTTGGACCTGGCCCATGTAGGACGGGGCCAGGTGGATCCAGGTCCCTTTAAGGGCCCTCAGGCTGGGACATGGGGGAGGGAGTGGCCCCTAAACCCATGGCCGGCTGGGACTGCATTCTCTGGGGGAGCGAGTGGCCGCCTGGCATTTTCCCTTTGATACTGATACAGGCATTTTAATAGCTTCGACCCATCAGGCGGGTGATGTTTCAACTCTGGCCATGCAGGGCATTCCAGGAGGCCCTGGCTGCCAGCAGGGGAGCAGCAGGAAGGTTTCTGCTCTCAGAGTAGCAAGGGGTCCATGCAGGGGCTGGGAAGGCTCCCACCTACTCCCGAGCCTCAGCCTGGAGACTTCTAACGGGGCTGTCACACTCATGCACTTAAGGGGGCCAGGTCGCTGCATAAGCAGGTGAAGCCAGCTGGGGAAGAGTCCCATGGTTCCATCTAGAAGGGGTCAGCCTCCACAGAGCACCACCTGGCCCACAGCTGCCAACCCTCCCATGCTGCAAGATGCACCCGAAGTCAGAGCTTAATGTGACATCACCTGATTTGTAAACAACCAGTACTTACTGAGCACCTGCCACATGCCGGGCCCTGTTCTAGGTACTGGAGATATGGCAGAGAATAAATCAGAGCAATGTATCCATGTTCTTGTGGAATTTACCTTCTAACAATAGAGGGAGACACTAAGTAAGATAAATGTGCAAAATATACAAATAAATAAACAAGGAGAAATGAATCAGGGAAGGGAACTGGAAGTATAGGGGTAGGACATGCAAAGCAAGGAAGGCCTCATTAGGAGCACGCCACATAGACAGCTAGGAAAGGATAGCATAGGAGGATGAACCAGTAAGTGCAAAGGCCCTGAGGCAGGAGAAAGCCTGGTAGGTGCAAAGCAAGAGGCCTGCATGATCACCTTGGCTGCTGTGTTGAGAACTGGCCATGGGGGAAGGGACAGAAGCAGAGCGACCTATTGGAAGGTTATCACGGTAATTGGGCCAACTGGTCCTGGTGGAGGTGTCCAGAAGGGGCTGATGATGGTGTATCTGGAAGATAAAGAATAGGAGCAGGTCATTGAATGAGTGTGGGTGAGAGAGAAAGAGGCATCGACGACAACTCTGAGCACCAGGTGGGATGCAAGTGCCGTTCATTCCCTGTGATGGGAAAGCTCGTGGCAGGGGTTCCGGGGAGGGGACAGAAGATCAGGAGCTCGGTTTTGCAGTGCTAATTCTGAGATGCCCAGGAGCTGACACATCCGGCAGCCACGAACTTGTGCACTGGGGTTCTGCAGGGAGGCTTAGGTTCCCTGAAGCCCGAACACCATGCCTAGTCCCTGAGGGAGCCAGGGTCTAGTGGTAAGAGGTAAGGGCCCTGGATGGTGGCCCACAAGATTTAGGTGTCAGAGAGACAAGAAGGAGCCAGTGAAGAGGACCCGGGCAACAGTGGGGGTGACCAGTAGAAGATGGAGAGAGCCTCCTGGGAGCCAAGCGCTGGAAGGGAGCAAGCAAACACTGCCCACGGGACTGTCACCGCCCTGGCACCTCATAGGCTGCTGTGTGCCCCCAGGAGAGCCCTGTGCAGGGCCGAGTGTAGTAGGGGCAGCCTAGGGGACGCCATCACCGGGACTTTTTCTAGGAAGACAGCTAAACACCCTTAAGAGAAGCTGTTTCTTTTCTCCTTCACAGTGAGAGGAAGAGCGGCGTGTTGGCACTGTGATTCCGTCGGGGAGGACAAACGGCAGCACCAGCAGGCTGGCAGCCCAATTTTGTCAACCTTTCTATGGCAATGTGGCCACACTGATTTGTTTTCAAATTATCCGTGGCTGCTTTCATTTACGACCAGACGTTTGAGCAGTTGTGACAGGGGACGTGAGGGCTCACACAGGCGAAAAAACTGCCAGGACCCTTGACAGAAGCTGCCTGTGGCTCCTGGTGTACAGGGCCTATGCAGAGAAGGAAGCTGACCAGGCGGCTGTGGTCCCTTCACAGGCAGGATGGAGAGATCGGGGCAGAGGGAGGAGTTGGCTTGGGCAGGGAGCACAGATGGGAGGGAGGGAGGCCCAAGGGCGCTCAGGGTCACAGACACAGATGGGAGGTCTGGTTGGTGGCTGGAGCCACCATGTGCACATCTGTTAGCTGCTGCTGGATGAGCCACTGCCAGTCACAACCTGTGGCAAGACTGTTGGAAACTTCGCTGGCCGTGGCCTGTGGGTCACTGACTAGCTCCATCCCTTCGAGGCCTGTGCCACATGCCCACGGGGCACAGTCCTACAGGTCGCTGGTGGGAAGGGGCGTGGAAATAGACTCCTGAAGTCTCTTCCTGCGAAGTGGCATTCATGAGCGTGACTCAGACCTGGGGGTCAGAGACTCTTCACCAGACTCTGTCCCGGGGGTCACTGTCCAGTGGCCATTCTGGCCTTGACACCCAGGTGCCTTACAGCTGGCTGCCACTTTCCCCTTCCTAAGTCATGGGATGTTCCTACTCTTCCTATCTCTTTGACCTCACGCCCCATCCCACCTCTTCTGACCCTGTGCCACCTCACCGTGGACATCCGTACTCACCTTCTCCAGCTGGACAAGACGGACTTGGCCTCAGAGGCCCAAGTGCACAGTTCAGATCCACCATGCACTGGCTGTGTCACTCAACTTGAGTCTGTTTCCTTGAGTAGCTACTGAGGTCACTGTTAAGCCTCCCTTAGAATTTAGTTATGAGAGGTAGATGTGCTTCTCCCTATTGAAGTGCTCAGCTCAGGGCAGGGGAACTCAGCAGACACTAGTTTGCTCTGAATCTTCTTGAAGCTTTCTGACCTGACCTCCCCTCTCTACTACCCAACATCGGCTCCACGACGTTTCCCACCGGACTTTCTCTTCTTCTCCTGTGGCCCATCCTGAGGGGCAAAATGGCTCAGCACTGAGAAAGCAAATGCTAGGCAAACGTGTATGGTCTGCCTGACCTCCCAACCAGCCAACACTGTCTAGTGGGATGGCAGCCTCCAATACAGCCACATTTTGCCAGCCAAGACTGCAGGGCCATGTGGCAGGATCTTCTCGTTTTTCAAGAGAAACTGGAAATGCAAATCTACACAGGAAACCACCCACTGCAAAATATTGGCAGTGGCCTCCATAGCAGTTTTTCAAATCTGTGGTGAAATCAGACGAACTACACTAAGGGTCAATTTGGCTCTGTGGCTGCCAGCATCAGGGTGTGGGTTCCAGTCCCGGCTCCATCCTTTACTTCCCTGTGACCTGGGTTGGTGACAATCTCCCCTCTGCCCAGGGCCCTTGCCAGTAACATGAGTGTGGTCGTGGCTGGTGCTCCTTGAGAGCTTCCAAGGTATGGGACACATGTGTTGACCTTTCCGGTCCTCTCAGTAATACAGGAGGCTGGGGCTGCGATGGCCAGGATCTAGGAGTCGTGTGAGCCTGGCAGTCTGGCTCTGTGATAGTGGGGCCGCCTCACTGTGAGGAGAAGCAGGAATCCTCACATAAGACACTAGGCATGCTGCCCCTGGTGGAGCTGTCCTCCAGGGTGTGGGCACCTGCGGGCATCCTGCTGTGCATTGCATGGACTTGTTCACTTACCACCATGCACGTGGCATTCCTGGGGAGTAGGGGGTGTCTTCCTTCTTCCAGACTGGCACAGCGACCTCAAGTTGTCGAGGAAGAGGTCTGTGGAGGGGGGGCCAAGGGCCTTCAAGCCCCCAGCCTCGCCCACCTGCCTGTGCCGGCTTTATGAGGGACACCAGAGGAACAAAAGGCACTGCCCTGCCCCAGGCCCATCGGGAGACGCATCCAAGAAGAGAAACAATTAGCAGGGAGCTGAGAAAAGCCTGACATTGTGCATATGAGCATGGGGTGCAGGAGGTTTATAGGGTCCTGGGGTTGGGGTTAAGAGCTTGTTGAAGACATCAGACCCTGAGATTCCTGAGATAGGCCTTCTTCTCGGCTTAGCCGTTTACCAACATTCTTCCATTCAGGAGCGGTGCCCCTGCCCCTCCCCACCAGCTTGCAGATGCTTCCTAGGGCCTGGTGATTACAAACTCTAGGTGACTTCTCTCTCTCTCTCCTTGCACAGAAATGGCGACTCCATTCGCGGAGGCGCCGGGAGGCCCCAAAGATGTCTCCAGGATGTAACTGCCCACCAGGTAAGGAGCTCTGTGAACTGTGAGGTCAGTGTCCCTAGGACAGGGAGCAAATACTGGAAGTCCTTCCGAGTGGTCATGCTGACTTCACAGGCCACCTGGGTCATTGCTTCTCATTTGAAAGATGGGGGAGTGGCAGCGTCTGTGATGATTACCTTCTGTCTGCTCACTGATGGGCCCACCTGTCACCTATCCATCCAACTATCCATCCGTCCATCCACCAAGCACGCATTCGTTCACCCCCATTGATTCATCTCCTCTTCTATGGCCCGACACTCTGTGAACCAGGTTGCAATAGAATCAGTTAAGATGATGGATGGGGCCATGTCTTAAAAACCACGATGTACTACGCAGAGCCCGAGGGAAGATCAGCTTCACCGGAGTGGGGACCCCACTCTATGTCCACTGTTGTGCCTGCAGCTCCTGACACGTGGTGCACAAAATGTTTGTTACCCGAGTGAACGAGGGCCCCCATTCTTGTGAGGCTTTGTTTGCCCTCACTGGGCGCCTTGGGGTGGCATGCCCAGTGTATGGTGTCTAAGCCACTCTTACACAACCACATATGCTCACACACAAGGTACCAGACACCTTAAAAATCGCCAGGTGAGGGATGGAATGAAATGAGTCAGTCTAATCTGGATTCAAATGCTATTCTTGCTATTCACTCACCCTGCCTGGGCAGATCCCTTGCCAAGGATGCCTATTCTAGTGTCTCTGGCCTGTTCTGTAATTGTGTCTTTGCATGTATTTAAAGCTGTGTGGGGCAGCTGCTCTGTGCCAGCTGCCATGCCGGGTGCTGAGTTCAAGTACAACATCCCAATGTTACACCACTGATATGGGGCAGCTCCTGGGAACTTTCCCAGGTTCCTGGCTGTGTGTGCTAAGCTGTGAGAACGACAGATGAACACAGCATCCTGTTCCTTCGAGTACCTAGAGTGAACTGTGCTCTTTTAGGGTGGGGAAGCAAGCCCTAAAAACAGGCTGGGGGAGACAAGGTAACATGTGAAAGTAATCACAGGGAGATTGGCCCTGCTCAGGCTCTCCGACAGTCCAGAGTACGGCCCTCTTGACCCCTCTGTGGGCAGGTGGCCGTGGCAGGGCACTCTGGCAGGACTGCCCTGGCCACAGGAGGCGGGGGACCTACGAACCCTCACACAGGGTCCCCAGGCCAGGAAAGGAGTCTGGCAGACGTTAAGCCTGCGGGAAGTGCAGGGACCACATTGGCTGGGTGTGAGTGAGCTGGAGTGGGAGTCGCAGAGCGGGGTACGCTGCGCTGGGAGACGTGAGAGCGAGAAGGGATGGAGCAGTGTGCAGCCAGAGAGGGGTCGTCGGGGTTAATTAACAGAGTATCCAGAAGCCCTGGGAAGCTCCTCACTCCCTCAGAGCCCGGGTAATTGGGCCCTGGGGTCTGGGCAGGCTTCCTGGAGAAGAATGTCAAGATTAATGAGATGAGGTGGAGAGGAGGGTGGAGTGGCAGGGCCTGGGCAGAGCAGCTGTAAGCGGCCTCATTTCCAGGGCTGCCCACAGTCAAGTCACTTTGTCTGTTGTCCTCCTAACTCTCAAGCAACTGCAGCTGATTAAGGGCAGGAAATTTGGAACTGCAGAAAATAAAGGTTTGGATTCCACCTTTGCATATATCATCTGTATGACCTTCAGAGGGGTTCTTAACCTCTCTGTACCCCAGTGACCTTGTCTGAAAAGCAGAGGTAATAGTCATCTTGCACATACGTGGTAAAGATTTAGTGAGATGATCTTGGTTGATCTGAATCATTAGCACTGTGTCTGAGCTACGCTAAGTGCTGTTACTACTATTATTTCCTCACCTGCTTCTTGTATGTCAAAGACGCCCAGAGAGCCTCATCAAACTCCATATCCTGATGTCCAGGGCATTGAGGGCTGCATGTTCATGGCCAGGCTGAGCCTTCTCCTTTCCCTGCCTGATCTGGGAAGTGGAGCAGCTGTCTGATGGCCTTCAGATGGCAGCAGGCCCTCTGTGGGGTGGGGAGGGGCAGCCGGGACTGTGCTGGGAAGGCACAGAGCAGAGACAGCAAGGGCTCCCATATCTGGCTCCCTGGGGGTTGGGAAGTCCAGCTGGGCAGTTTAATCAGAAGCACAGTTAAGAGCAGGACACTTCCCCCAAATCAAAGCAGAACTGGGTAACTCAAATGCCTTCCACCAGCTCTTCAGAGAGTCATGCTGAGGACTGGAAAGGTGTCAGGAGGGCATCTCATGTCTTTGATCTCAGAGTGCAGTACACCTGCTGGGTGGGCTCAGCCCTGCAGGGCCCCTGTGCCTGCCTTGCCTCCCTCTCCCCACAGCCTGAGGCATTGCACCCTGAAATAAGAAACCTCCTCTCAACATGGACTCTGAGCTGCTCTAAGTCCTAGTAGTTCTGTCACTGTCCTCAAGTGAATACCCACTGCGTGCTGCTTCATCCTAACAGGGACTGTCCTCAGAACACTGACAAGAGATAGAGTTCTCACATCCTGAAATGCCGCCATCCTTGGGTGTGTGAGTAAAACCCCTCTCTCCTCTCATCTGTGCCGTGCAGCTCTGATTCTTGCTGTAGGGTCAGTTTACAAGTATTTTATGGTGTTTGCAGGACTCATGCTATTGTAAAGTGTCACTTGCAAATGCAAACTGTTACCTTGGTCTCGCCAGCGCTTAATATTGTGTCCCATACATAGTAGATGCTCAATGTATATTCAACAAATTCAGTAATCATTCCTGATGATTATTCTTTCTTGTGATCTCCATCTGCCACCTGATTGCTGTGGATGCCTTCCTTTCTGTCCCACCCCCAGTCTTGCCTGATGCTAGAAACACCACCACAGGACACAATAAATAAACACATTCTTCCTTCTCATGGTGGCCCTTGGGGTCAGGGTCTACTGCCCCAAGCCCGGGCCTGCCCTGTTTGCCTCTGTGGCCAGTTCTCCAAGCCCTGTGGTGGGTGTGTTCTTCCTTGGGCGGTACTTAGAGAGCTTGGGACACATAATCATGGGCAGAGAACCTACCTTCTTCCCTTCCTGGTCTGACCTTGCCAGCATCCTACTGGGATCCTCCCTGTCCTAAAATAGCCCTCTATTGGCTCAGACCTGGCTATATCCTGCTTCTGGGCTACACGTGTTATTTGCCGGGGCAGTGACGGGCTCTCAGGCCACAGATGAGATGCCAGAGGTCAAGCCTCAGTTGGGAGGGACACTCGGCCAAGAGTTCAGAGGAATAGGTGTGGACCATTTGCAAAGCTGCAGTCATTCTGGTGGGATGGGAGAAGGGCCTTGGGAAAAGATGTACATACCGTGGGACTTCCTGGGCCACTCGAGATGAATACAAAGATCAGGGAAATTCACCCATTCTTGAGTCCCATTCTAATTAACAAAGGAAGAGGAGGACAATATAGGTTCCAGCTAGCAAGGAAGCAGCTCCTTCAGGTCCACCTCACCAGGGCTGGGTGGAGTGGCCAGTCCCATATCCAGGCTGGGGCTAGTGGCCTGTGACACGGAACAGTGTCACACACAGAAGAAACCATGACTAGTCACCTCATGACCTGGGCCTCATCTGTAAGGGAAAGGGCAGATCAGGGTCACACTTGACTGCCTGGCTGGAAGCCTGGGCTGCCACAACAGCAAGAACTAGTAGAGTCAGCTCTGCCTATTGGTGACATCCATCACTGGCCCTTGTGTGGAGGAGGGATGGTGGGGAGGGAAGACGCTGTTGGTCGGGCATGTGGGAGAGGTTGTGACCATGCCTAAGTTGAGAATGCTGGTGACAGGTGTGTGTCAAGTGTCCGAGCCCCGAGGAGCTTGGGACCCTAGGAGAGCTTCACCGAGGAGGTGGCACTGAGGCCAGTCACAAGGAAGCAGGTGGGAGGATATACAGTTAGAGAACAGGCTCAGCTGCCACCGTACCAAAGGCTCCCAAATACAGGTACTTAAAACAGAAGTTCAGGTGTCTCTCACTTAGCGGGCCAAACGGGCATGGTCCAGGGCTGGGAAGTGGCCCTATCACCTTCATCTCGCGGCAGTCATCTCTGGGCCCCTCATCATCTCTCAGCTAGCAAAAGGGAGGAAGGCACTAGGGCAGTGTATGCTCAAATCCTCAAGAGCAGAATGTGAAAAAAAAATGTCTCCTTCACCTCTGCTCACAACCCATCAGCCGGCACTTAGCAGTCTGCTTACTCAGGTCCGGGGGAGGCAAAACAGTGCTTTTCGCTGGTGGCTTCACGTCCAGGATGCACTTTGTTACTGTGGGAGGTGGGAGAACAGATATCTAGGAAAGGCCAGCTCTCCACACAGAGACCTTTACAGGGACTGTCAAAGGCAAAGCTTGCAGGGCTGGAAACAAGGCAGGAATATTTGGGGAGATGACAAGCAGGCATCTGGAGCACAGCACAGTATGGTGAAGGGAAATGGATAGGCAAGGATGAGAATGGAAAGAGATGTCAAGACTGCAAAGAATCAGGATGGTTTAACTCTCGGTTCAATGGTTTCCACGCTGAGGGTGATTGATTGGTAATGGCTGCCTGGAGAGCTGTGCTGAGTCAGCTTCTGAGGGTATCAGGCTCAGCAGGAAGTGTGGTAATCACTTAATCATGTCCGCCATGGGTGCAGGAGCTTGAACAGCAGGGCCTGTGCCTTGGCTGTGTTACCCTCACAGGATATAATGTGGTGTCAGAGAAGGTTTTTGGGGGCAGGGTGATGTGGAGGATACGTCAGAGGGCAGAACAGCCCCTTCTGGCAACGAAAGTCAGCGGTCCTATGAACAGGACTTAGTTTTCTCTTGAGCTCCTGTCTATGTTCAGGTTGGAGCAGCTTCTCCAGCCTTGGTCATTTCCCCTTGTGGTGAGAGCTGCTGCCTACAGATCCTGAATCCTCTCCTTTGGCCATCTTTGCTCTGTTTTCCCTGGCACCAGATTTCATCCCCTCATCCCTACCCCAGCCCATGACATTTACACGGGCAGAGCCTGTGGCCAGGGCTTTGGTCTCACTTCAGGCTCCTCT